TAGGTTTTATTTAATATGGTTATTTTCTTTCGTTCAAGAAAAAGGTATCTTTAAAATACATGAGATTCAAATTGTTTGTATTAATATACATTCGGATTAATTAAATATAAACTAATTTTGTAGACTTGGACACTTTTTGTAGAGTAGAACGATTTTGAGACAACTTTATCAACCAAAGATAACTTCTTGTGTTCAAGATAATTTTATCGACCAAAGACAACGAATCTAGTGGCTATCGTCTTTTTTCGATATTGATCTAGTGCAAACCAAATATTTAACAACTAATATTAATATATAAATAACAAATACATGGTAAAATGAATAATAAATATATAAAAACCGTTATTAATATAATAATTACAACGGACAACGAATTTTTGTGGTCGTGGTTGTGGAATTAAACAATAATAATATTACCATTACTACAAGAAAGAAATATAAAAAAACCCTTCTTAAATCGCCTAAAGATTGTAAAATAATAAATAAAGTTATTTTTGATCAGTAGAATCCACCTTAATGTTAAATTAGATCTGTTAACATTTAAAAATATAGTATACTCGCAATACGTATTCATGAAGACTTGGCTTTAAAATCATATTTATTTGAAGAAAATTGCAAATGACATTAATTTTTTAACTGACCTTTTAAAATTCGGATATTAAGCATGCAGTAAATAAATTAAAATCAAATTGATATAAATTGTAATGATCCCAATTCCCATTTTATTATGAATATCATGTTTAAAAAAAATCATGTTCAATATTGAATATGTTCTTTAGCATAAAACACCAACCATTTTGTCTAGTTACGAATTATCATTTTTTTTGTACCATTGATTTAGAAAAGCATTATCCGTTAATTAATGTTTATTACTAAAAATGCTAAAAAACATTTTTTTAATTGAAAATAAAGCGTTGTTTAGTTAAATTGACAATTTAATTGATTATTTGTTTATTACTAAAATGCTTTGATCACGTCTATACATTCATTTTGCAAAGCTGGATTGCAAGCTTTGTAAATCTTGACTTTAACACTTACTTTGATCAAACCCGCATATATAATTATTGAATAATTGATAAAACATTCATTTTGGAAACTTGATTTGCAAGTTCATAGATCTTGTCTAACACTTAATTTGATCAAACCCGCCCACAGTCTACTCTCTCTATAATGACCACTAAGTAAAATTTCTCAATAACGAACTTCCCTTTTGTCCCTGTTCCAATTTTTTATAATTAATTTCTTTCTCTATAACAACCATCTTAATAAACTCTCTCTATAATGACCAAAAGCAGAGAAATTACATATAGGGACAGAGGGTTTGTTATAGAGAGAGTGAACTTTATATGATAGAAATACTAAGAATATTATTAACTTATAAGTATGCCAATAATACCTTGATTATTTTTTTAAAGAATATCATTCAATATCAAATTCCGATATTTACTGATGCCCCATTACCCAATTTGGCATCATTCAACCAGTAAAAAGGGAACCAATGGATTATAGATAAGCAAAGAAAAATGGGCCTTAAATTAGCACAAAAGAATTTTAAATCATGCATAAACATAACAGCTTGATATCTTGATTGACATAGTGGTGCAGTCTTGCAATTTTTTTATTGTATTTTAAATATAATTAATTAATAAAACAAACATGACTTAGCTATTTAATCATTTCCTTGTATGTGAATGCCTCCATTCATCAAATATTCATGATGGTCATGATTATTATTCAATACATTTGATATCATCATTGACATAACAAACAATTGCATCACCCAGGTAGTAATGATACCAAGATCATGCATAAATGAAATTTTTAATAACACATGTCTACCTAAATGAATAGGGAGGATCAAAAAAATTAATTTTTCTAATTATCAATTATGGTTCCTTATGAATAATAAATAAATCTGATATTGATTGCAGGTGTCAGATTATTAAAATTTTCCTGTCACAAAATGCAAGCGTTGTGCACTGCACCCCCCTACACTCCAGAGCTTTTCCATGAGTGTGAGCAACTTGGACAAGTTGCAAGGCTTTGGACAAAACTTCCCTCATCTTCCTCTCAGACTAGACTTGGCTGTTTCCATATGGGCATTGATCACTGATAGCTGGTGCTTGTGTGATGATTACTTTGTATTATACCCCTCCCACTAGAATAAAGTTACTGTATTAGATTTTCCCAGAGTTCAGTGTTTTGAGTCCTGGGTTGCTGTCTTGTCAGTGGCATTCCAACTTACCAACAAACCTACCCCATTAAATAATAAAAATTAAAGAGAA